GAACCGGCGCCGCAGAGGTCGCCGGCAGCTTCACAACCCAGCGCTCAACCGCTGCGCCACCGGGGAGGCCCCTCAGCATAAGATTTTAAACATTCGTCCATGTTATGACATGTAGCAGTACTTTCTTTTATTTATTTCATTTTTCTTTTTTGAAAGATTTATTTATGCATACAAGAACTGGGCTACATGCCAGAGGTGTGGGAAAGTGAGAGGATTCACCAGAGACAGAGTGGGGAGCAGAACAGGCAGATTGACTGAAAATCACTGCTGAGGGGAGCAGCAGATGAGTCAGGAGAGGTCTGCTGCACCATGTGGGTTGCTCCCTGGGCAGCCGGGGATCGAACTCGAACTTGTGCTGCAGAGGCGTATGGATAACTTCATAGTGCTGTGCATAACACCTTGCGCCACCAGAGAGACCCCTCTTTTATTTATTTCTTTTACAGCATTGGTCATTTTTGTGTAATGTTTGATTTCTCCCCTCAGATGTTATCCCCATAAAATTCCCACCACCAAATCACCCGTGAACCATCATCATGGTTTTTGTGATCTTTTCTTCCTGGGTTTAACCAATCTCCCTCCCTCCCCTGCTGTAAGTCTCAGACTTATTGTTTGCCTGCTAGGTTTAACTTTTTTGTGTGACCCCTTGTATGGTTTCCCTATATTTCTCCTAGAAGTGAAACCATCTGATATTTTTCTTTTTCCTTCTGACTTCTTTCTTTCTCTTTTTTAAAGATCTGTTTTTATTTATTTATGCATACAAGAACTGGGGTGTAGGCCAGAGGTGCAGATGTTGTGTGTGTGTGTGTGTGTGTGTGTGTGAGAGAGAGAGAGAGAGAGAGAGAGAGAGAGAGAGAGAGAGAGAGAGAAAGGAGTCACCAGAGACGGAGTGGGGAGCAGAACAGGTGGATCTACTGAAATACACTGCTGAGGGGAGCATCAGGCGACACAGGAGAGGTCTGCTGTGACTTGTGGGTCAGCTCCCTGGTCAGGGATAGAACTTGTGCTGCAGTGGCTGGTGATAACTTGATAGCACTGAGATTTTAACCCCTGTGCCACCAGGGAGACCCTTCTTCTGACTTATTTCACTGAGCATAATCCCTTCCAGCTCCATCCATGTTGCTGCAAATGGCATGAATTTATCTTTTTTGATTGCTGAGTAGGTTTCCACTAGATATATATACCACATCTTCTTCATCCAGTCATCTGTTCTTGGGCATTTAAGTTGTTTCCTATCTTAGCTATTGTAAATAGTGCTGCAATAAACATAGGAGTGCAGGTTGCCTTTCAAATTAATGTTTTTGTGTCCTTTGGGTAGATTCCTAGGAGTGGATTTGCAGGGTCATATGGTAGATTCATTTTTAACAATTTGAAGGTCCTCCACACAGCTTACCATAGTTGTCGGACCATTCCCACCACCAGCGTAAGAGGGTTCCTTTCTCTCCACAATCTTGCCAGCATTTGTTGTTGTTGTTTTAATTTTTGCATACAAGAACTGGGGTGCAGACCAGGGGTGAGGAGTTGAAAGGATTCACCAGAGCCAGAGTGGAGAGCAGAACAGGTGGATTGACTGAAATACACTGCTGAGGGAGCAGAGGGCAAGACAGGAGAGAGGTCTGCTGTGCCTTATGGGTTAGCTGCCTGGCTGGGGATAGAACTCCTGCTGCAGTGGCTGGTTATAGTCTGACAGTGCTGAGACTTTTACCCCTGTGCCACCAGGGAGGCCCCTATTGTTAGTTTTTTTTTAAATGTGTTTCATTCTTACTGGTGTGAGGTGATATCTCATTGTGGTTTTGATTCGCGTTTCCCTGATGGCTCATATGTGGAACATCTTGTTATGTGCTTACTGGCCACTTGTGTATCTACTGTAGACGCTCTGGAAAAGCTGAGAAACAAAGAACAATAGGACAGCATTGAGATGTCCTGGCACAGGCTCCTTGGAGGAAAGGTTGATTCCAGGTCTAAGTCAGGAAATACTCAGCCTTGGGGCTTCTTGTGCCAGGAAACAGATACCAAAGAATGGGGTTACAGCAAAAATACGCAGAGTCCCCCCTCCCTGAGATAAGGCAAGCTGAATGTCCGCAAGATTAATGAATGCATTTAATACATTGAATATAAAAAGGATAGCAGTTCAGAGGGATACCAAAGGGGCCAGGAGGATAAGGAGCAAGATAGAAATACATTGAAAGAAATACGTTGAACTCCCTGCTCTGAAAACTGGCAATTAAAGAAAGACCTAAGCATGTGTCCCTTCTTTCCTGTGTCAGCTGTATTTCAGGGTTACCAAATTTTCCTAGTTAATGAGGAAAAATTCTTCTTGATAGAGGACTTCCAATTAATAAATGAGAAAGTAATGATAGAGTTAGAAAATCACCATTTTGTAACCCCTAAGGAAACACTAGAGTCAAACAATTATCTCTGCATAAAACTATTAGTGAAAGGCTGTCGGGGAATTTTGCAACGGAAGGATCAGGTCTCAGCAGCTGAAGCCCCAAATCAACCTCGGAATAACTGAGTGGGACAAGGAGACATGGGTCCCTCTTGAAGACATGCAGCGTGACCCAGCTATACGTTTACTTTCCTGTAAGTGGAACTTAACCTTAACCAAGTTTCCAGACCAGCATTCTTTTGTAGAGGAATAGTTTTAATGAAATCAAACAGGAAAATAGATTTGATTTAATAAAATCAAATCTGGAAAATAGGAGATTCTGCCAGAAAATGTATTCAGTCTTTTCAACATCTCAATGATATTTTAACTTGGGGTGGGGGGATTGTTCTCAATTAAATCCTTGAGAGATATAACAACCAAATGTAGCTTATAGACCTTATTCCTGACTTTTAAAAAAGGACTTTCAATTCTAGAACCATGGCCCAATTTGTCCATAACCTGGTAAACGCTTCTGTGACTTACTGGAAGCCTCAATTAAGAGGCCACGTTTTGGAAAGATGCCAAAGTTGAACTGGTTCCTCCAACCCCTGCTGAGATTCCTATGGCTATTCAGAGCTTGAAAAAACTAGTCAATAGTGCCTAAAACTGGTAGCTTCAGGGCCTCCCTGATGGCCTAGGAGTTAAGTCTTAGCATCTTCAAGGCCTGATTTCAATCCCTGGGAAGGGAGCTAACCCACAGCAGCAGACCTCTCCTGTCTGCTCCCCTCAGCAGTGTATTTCAGTAGATCCCCCGTTCTGCTCCCCTCTGTCTCTGGTGAATCCTCTCACCCCGCATACCTTGGTTCTTCTACCCATAAATAAATAAATAAACCTTTTTTTTTTTTTTAAGATTTATTTATTTATACAAGAACTGGGGTACAGGCCAGAGGTGAGGGAGGGTGAGAGGATTCACCAGAGACAGAGTGGGGAACAGAACAGGCAGGCTGACTGAAATACACTGCTGAGGGGAGCAGCAGGGGAGACAGGAGAGGTTTGCTGCACCATGTGGGTAGCTCCCTGGCAGGCTGGGGATCGAACTCGTGCTACAGTGGCTGCAGATTGCTTCATAGTGCAGTGCTTAACCCCTTGCACCACTAGGGAGGCCCAGACGCCCCCATTCTAAAGAAGATGCAGGCCCAGGGAGGTAAATTTTCTCACCCAAAGACACACAGCCCATATGTGATTTGGCTCATATCCCCCGGCCTCAGAGCCTGTGGTCCTTTTTCCATCCAGGCTGCTCTGACTCAGGAGGGCCACTGGGGCAGGGATGGGAACCCTCCTCGGGGCTCCAGCACAGGTGCAGGGCTGGGAGAGAAGGCCCATGGGGAGGCTTCAGGTCCTCTTCCCAAGTGCAGCCTCTCTTAGGGGTAGCCCAGGCTTGGGGTGCATAAAAGAGGTGGGGTACAGGCCAGAGGTGTAAGGGGGGCAGTGAGAGGATTCACCAGAAACTGAGTGGAGAGCAGAACAGGCAAACAGACTGAAAACACTGCTCCAGAGGAGCAGCGGGCGAGACAGGAGAGGTCTGCTGTGACATGTGGGTATCTTCCTGGCCAGCCAGGGATTGAACTTGTGCTGCAGAGGCTGAGGACAGCTTCACAGCACTGCGCTCAACCTGCTGTGCCACCAGGGAGGCCCTAAACAAATCTTAAAAAGAAAAAAAAAAAAAAAGGCGGCGAGGGGGAAATTACGGGGATTCAGGGAGAGACTGAGTCAGGTGCAAGGCTGGAGCTTCTGGGGGCAGAAACCTAGTGCCTGTTGCCTCACACTGTGCTCTGACCAGATCCCCCACTCCTGCTTTTTATCTCTGTCCCCCTAGCAGAGCCACCTCCCACCCCACACTTCCTCTCTCATCTTTCTAGAAGATGTTTATTGTGGGGAGGTTGTAGTGTAGGGGAAGAAGGTCTTGCAGATAGCAAGTCTCAAAGTCTTCTAAGTCCCAGATTCCTTTGGCAAAGGGTGCCCCCATTTTTGCACATTTTACATGGTCAGCCCAGCTAGGGGAGGGGTCTAGGCTTCTTTCTTCTTTTCAGGATGGGGCAGTGCAGGCTGGATCCCCACCTCCCGCCGGCAGGCTGCCTCCCGGCCCCTGATGGCCCCAACCCATTGTCCCAGCAAGAATAGAGAGAACAGCTTTGGAAAGTGACACTATGAATGGCGAGGGCTGCTGGGGCCTGGCCAAACTAATGGGATGATCTCCCCACGCTGGGCCCTGGCTCAGCACCTGGGACAGCGACTCTACAAGGTGGGTGGGGGCCCTTTACACCTTCCTGGGACCCCCAAATCAGACTCCAAACCATCCCTGTCCAGGCCCTGGATCTCAGAGATGGGTTTAGGGGAGCAGATGTCCCCTCACTCCCCAGAACACTCTCATTCAATCAAAGTTTGGGAGAGAGTAAGGGGTGGGTCTAATGGGCTGGGAGAGGATTCTGGAGGCTGGGAAAGGGGCGGGCTTGACCCCCCAACTTTGCCCTGCTTTCATTGGCCTCCGCCCCCTACTCTTTCCCCGCCCCAATTGTCTCGGTGTCTGGTCCTGGCCCTGGGAGGAGGGGACAGTGAGGATGGGGGGGAGGGGGCTCAGTCTGAAAGCAGAGAGAGACCCAGCCCAGGGAGGACAGAGCAAAGGACAGCAGCCTCCAGGCTCAACCCCAGATCTTGGACCCCCAGTCTCCGGGCTCCCCAAAGCAACGCCAGAGCCCCCACATTGAGCCCCTCAGGTGTGGAGTGGGGAATGTCCACCGCCCACGAGCCCCCAGGCTGAAGGCAAGGGACGGGGCTGCTCAGAAAGTAACTGGGGCTGAGGGGGCCCAGCCTGGCCAGGAAATGGGGCTGCTGCTGCTGCTGCTGCTGCTCCAAGACTGGGGTGAGTGGATGAGGCTGCAGGGGGTCGGGGGGTGGCGGGGGGGGGGGGGGGGCAAGGGGGAGGCCAGGAGCAAGAGGTAGATGGGAAAAAAACGGGGAAGATCTATAGGAATGGAGATCTGGAGAGGAAATGGAGGAGGGAAGGGCAGAGAGACTGAGACGGGAGCAGAGGCGGAGAAACCCTGCGGGACCAGGCTGGGGTGGGGGACGGGAAGCGCGAGCCTTTGGGTTTGGCATGGAGTTGTGTGGAGGGAGGTTCTGGGGGTGCAAAGACTTTGGCTATAGTCCTGGGGCCCCGCCAGCAGAAGGGGAGCTGGGGTCACACCAGTGAGTGGTAAGGACAGGCTGGGCCAGCAGAGGGTCTTAGGGAGGTAGGGACCAAGAGCTCCCCCACAGCTGGCTCTGGAGTCCACCCACCCACGCCCCGCCAAAGGCCACTCTGCCCATCCATCCACCCCATCTGCTGGGCAGCATCCGGCTGACCTTAGGGGGCTGAGTAACCCTATTTAAGGTGAGACGGTCGGGGACATGCAGGTGAGGTCACAGCGCTGCGCTGGGCCCCTGCATGGCTGCCCTGCACTGTGCACCTGCGACTGTGAGCCTGCAGGCCCCTCTGTAGACCACCTGCCTGTGTGCAGGATGGAGCCCGAGTCTGGAAGGGTCTGTTGGATGCTCAGTCCAAGTGCATGTGTGTATGCGTGTGAGCATGCTCCTTCCCTCTTCAGGGGCTGGCGTCCTGCAATGGGAGGGGGAGGGGAGAGCCAGGAGTCCTGGGAAGCTGACCCTGCGGGCAGACAGGCAGATGGGCTGGGGTGGGGGGGAGCACAATGCCCATGCCTAGGCCCCTGACCTCGTCATTGTGCCTGTCCCGCCCCCTCCCCGTTGCCAGGGCCGGGCTGAAAGGGGCCATCAATCACCACAGCCCTCAGCCCACCAGGCCTGGTCTCCATCGCCAGCCGGACAGCGTCCAGCTCGGGGCCTGCTCCTCAGACCACAGTCTCCCCTCCCTGGTCCTTCCTCCCTTGAGATCCCAAGTTCCCCTTAAAGTCAAGTCCTCTCTCCTGTACCTTGCCCAGCCTGGACAGGGAGTTAAAACTAAGGGGCACTGGTGGGCCACACGAGGCTGCCATATCCAAGCCACATTGCTGTCCCCACAGGCTTGGCTGCCAGCTCCGAGCTGGCCTTCGTGCAGGAGCCGGGGGACGTTGTGGCCGTGCGGGAGCACCCGCTGGTTCTGCCCTGCCAGGTGGAGGGGGAGCCGCCCGTGTCCATCTCCTGGCAGCGGGATGGGCTGGCGCTAACCAATGACAGCGGGGCCACCCTGATGCCCGATGGCTCCCTGCATCTGGCTGCCCTGCCCTCCCGCCGGAGCCTCCCGTTCCACACCCACGAGTACCACTGCGTGGCCCAGAACCGCTATGGGCGGCTGGTGAGCCGACGGGCCCGGGTCCAGCTGGCAAGTAAGTGACCCAGCTGCTCCCGGGGCCGGGGATTGTGTATAGGGCGCCCACAGTGGGCACCACGGAGAGAAGCAGGCATCTGTCCCCAGAGCACCTGGCAGTGCCGGCCTAGCCATGGACACAGCACACCCGGGCACGCACTCTGGCACTTTCAGGGACCATGAAAATATTTTTATGCTAAATTCTTTAAAACCAGAGGAAAGAAAAGAATATAATAATGACTACATAATCATGAGTCCAGCCTGGATTTTATTTGTCCTTATAGCACTGCCATTATAAATATAATTTTGCATGTATGGAGGGAAGCAAAGTGCTCCGACCCAGAAACACCAGACACCGGGCTGCACAGTTAGGAGACCCGTGGGACGGGCAGCTGTGGGCACTGGGAAGGGAGCTCCGGCTCTGTGACACCTTTGCTAGGGCCGAAGAGCTGGCTCTGTGATGCTCAGGCGATCCTGGTATTCTAGGTCTTTCCCGCTTCCACCAGCATCCGGAGTCTGTTGAGGTGGAGCCAGGTGGAGTCGCTCGCTTCCAGTGCCTGATCCGGGGGGTGCCTGAGCCCTCCATTTCCTGGGAGCACAACGGCACGGCCCTGAATACTGCCAACCACCGGTGAGCCCCTGGCCAGGAGTGTGGCAGGATGTGGGCGAGGGGCCAGGCATAGCCACGGACGCCTGACTTGCATCCTCAGGGTCACTCTGCTGCCTGGTGGCATTCTCCACATCACCAGCGTGAGCCAGGCCGACGTGGGCACCTACCGCTGTGTGGCTTGCAATGTGGCCAACACACGCCACAGCCAGGACGCCCAGCTGACCCTGAGTGGTAAGCAAGAGTGGGAGAAGCAGAGTGTGTGCCTGGCTAAGGAGGGTGTGGGAAAGGATGCTGCTGGAGTGGGTGTGGCTGATGTGGGAGTACAGACGCTTTTTTTAAAAGATTTATTTTTTAGGGCCTCCCTAGTGCCGCAACGGGTTAAGTGTCAGCACTACCAAGCTATCGCCAGCCACTGCAAGATGAGTTCCATCCCCAGCCGGGGATCTACCAATATGGCGCAGCAGACCTCTCCTGACTCACCCGCTGCTCCCCTCAGCAGTGTATTTCAGTCAGTCTGCCTGTTCTGCTCCCTACTTTGTCTCTGGGAGCACACAAGAGCTGGGGTGTAGGCCAGAGGTGTGGGGGGTGAGAGGATTCACCAGAGACAGAGCGGGGAACAGAACAGGCAGACTGACTGAAATACACTGCTGAGGGGAGCAGCAGGTGAGAGAGGAGAGGTCTGCTGCACCATGTGGGTAGCTCCCTGGCCGGAGTTCGAACCCATGCTGCAGTGGTTGGAGACAGCTTGATAGCGCTGTGTCTTAGTCCCTGTGGCACCAGGGAGGCCCCAGGGTGTACAGACATTTTGTATAAACAGCCATTTAGAGCCCCTACTGCACGGGATATCCTGGGTGCGGGAGGGGGCCTGCGAGGGTGTGGTAGGAGAGCAGGAGCCAGCTCTGTCTTGGCTCCTGGTGGAGAGGGGTGCTGTGCAACCCAGGGCAGGACCTCTAACCCAGGCTTGGGCTGCGGGCAAGGGATGGTCAGGGGCCTCAGGAGTAAGCTGTACTGAGCTGCATGTTGGAGGTGCGTGGAGAGAAGCAGGCCAGGTCAGGCCGGCATTCGTAGCATCTCCTTAGGCAGAAGCGCTAGGGTGAGAATTGTGGTTCATGCTGGAAATTCCATGTCGCCGAACCCTAAAATGGGCAGGACTCAGGGTAAGAAGGAATTGTTGGAGAGGTAGGCACAACGCATCATGAGAAGAGTCTTGCTGCGGCCGGCTGTGAGAGCCTTGATGGGTTTAGAGTGGGATTCTCAGAGCCAGCCCACCTCAGCGCCCCCCAAGGACGGGTGTGCATGTGCGCCCACTTCAGTGTTCCCTCCTTGAATCAGTCGCTTTGAAGTTGAAACACCTAGGACGCCCCCAAATGCAGCCCGAGTCGGGTGGTGGGGATTTGCGCCCAGAGCGAGAGGAGGGTCGCAGCAGAACCTGTGACCGGTGCCCAGCGGACTGCGTGGGAGCCCCGGCCCCCAGCAGGCCAAGAGCCACAGGGGTCTGCAGGCGTCAGGCCCGAACCAGCCACAAGGGGGCCCCACAGTACAAACAAGCAAGCCAGCCGTGGGGCAGCACGCAGGCGCCTCCGCAAATACTTTCAAAACATCTGACATGTCATAAAGAATATATAATCTTTCAAATGAGGACTGAAAGGGGAAGAGGGGGGCGGTTTTGTCCCTGATCGCGAACTGACGTAGAATCTGGCAGCACAGGGTGGGGATGGGGCTCCTCCCAGGAGCAGAGGGAAGGAGGGGAGCCCTGGAAAGAGGGGGGCTGTGCTCCAACCTCCCTCCCTCTTCCAGTTCCCAGCAGCCATCTGGGGCAGGAGGGCAGGACGCCAGGCTTCCATGAAGCTCCATGCTCCTGGCCAGATGCCGAGCTATGGGTCATCCTGTTGGCCGCGGAGGTGGAACGCATCCACGGCTTCGTGGCCAGAGGGCTTCAAGAGGAGCAGCTCCCGTTGGGGCAGAGGATCGGGCAGTAACTGAGGGCCCCCCAGAAAAGGAGCTAGGGTCAGCAGGCTCTTCTCCAGAGTCAGGAGTTGGGAACTGAGGCCCCAAACCATGCACTAGGCAAGCAGGCCCTACCTGGGAGGCACCCGGCCTATGGGATCCCAGACTTTCAGGGAATGCACAGTGGCAGGAGGGGTGTGCTCTGTCAGCTGGCCAGTGCTGCCAGGATCTGGGTCTGAGGTCCATTTCTGCCACTTCCTCTTAACCTCTGTCACCTGGTGTGCTCATCTGTGGACGGGAGAAGGAACAGCACTCACCTCACAGGTCGTGGTAAGGATTAAGTGAGCCTCCCTGAAGGCTGGCTGACCGTGGTTCCACAGCCCAGGCCCTCCCCCACTCAACAATCTGACCAGATGGAACACGGCCTTCTTGGCCAGGGTGGGGACATTCCAGAGCAGTTCACAGCCTGAACTAGAGCTCGTTAGAAGCCAACTGGTTGCTGATGAATGGATGAATGAATGAAATATTCTAAATAGGGGGAAAATTATGGATGTGTAGGACTTTATACCAGTCCTCGAGGAACTTTTATTTTAGAGACATAACATTTTGCACAAGTTCTTTTTTTTTTTAAGATTTATTTATTTATGAATGCAAAAACTGGGGTACAGGCCAGAGGTGTGGGGGGTGAGGGGATTCACCAGAGTCAGAGTGGGGAGCAGACCAGGCAGATTTACCGAAATACACTGCTGAGGGGAGCAGTGGATGAGACAGGAGAGTCTGCTGCATCATTTGGGTTTCTCCCTGGCCAGGGATCGAACTCGTGCTGCAGTGGCTGTGGATAGCTTCATAGGTTGTGTCTTAACCCCTGAGCACCAGGGAGACCCTGCACAAGTTCTTAATAAAGATTATTTATGAAAGGGTTACTGATGAACAAAGTCTTGCAAAATGCGAAGTGGCAAAACAAAAATGGGGGTGACAAGACAAAGGACAAACAAAAGTCTTTTTACTCTATATGTCTCACTGTCACCCCTGTGTGAGAACAGTGCCTGGCACGGCATCCCCCAGTAATGAGTGACCTGATGGGTTAGGTTTATTGAATAACCTAATAAAATGGAGGGAGGGCATAAAATGAAGATGCAGAGCCTCCCTGGAGGCGCAGCAGGTTGAGCACAGCTCTGTGAAGCTGTCCGCAGCCTCTGCAGCACTAGTTTGATTCCACATGGCGCAGCAGACCTCTCCTGTCTTACCCGCTGCTCCCCTCAGCGGTGTTTTCGGTCTGTCTGCCTCTTCTGCTCCCCGCTCTATCTTTGGTGAATCCTCTCACCCTCCTGTGCCTCTGGCCTGTACCCCAGTTCTTGTATAAATAAATTAATCGTTTTTAAAAAATGAAGATGCAGTTTAGATCCAAATATTAGTATATGTCAAAAATGTTTAGAGCCCTCCCAACAGCTGACATGCTTGCTGAGTTCTTAGCAGGCCTGGATTTCCTCCTGCATCTCCTTACAGCTTTGTGGGTGATTCTGGGAAGGGAACTAGGGCAGTAGCCCTACCCCTGGCAGGGAGGCTCTGGGGGACCAGTTCGCACTCAGATGTGGCTGCAGGCCATTGGGTGAGACAGATGTGGTGGGGGGCATGCTTACTGTCTCCTCACTAGTTTAACTTGGGGCTGCTGAGTACCCCAAATCTTCTAAACTCTGTTGTTTACCCATGAACCTTGGGAAAGTCATTTTCTTTATCTATAGATCAGCAATAAAATAGCAACTGCTCAGCCTCAGCTCCCAGAAGAGTCACCTGCGGACTTGAAAGGGGCTGTGCGGGGAGCAAACCGGGAATGGGGCAAGATTCTGTTTCCAGATCTCTCAACCTGCTGTTTCCACCTCGCAGTGGGATCCCCACGGCTGCTGCAGGAACCTGAGATCCTGTCTGGGCCCCAGAACCTGACGCTCACGGTTCACCAGACCGCGGTGCTGGAGTGCATAGCCACGGGCCACCCGCGGCCGCTGGTCTCCTGGAGCCGCCTCGGTGAGCTGAGTCCCGCCCCAGCCCCCAGCCCTTCCGCACCCCCCCCCGCACCCCCCGCTGCCCCCCACCCTCGGCCGCCCCGCGCTGACCCCTCCCTCCCCGCAGATGGCCGCTCCATCGGCGTGGAGGGCATCCAGGTCCTGGGCACGGGGAACCTTATGATCTCTGACGTGTCGGTGCAGCACTCGGGCGTGTATGTCTGCGCCGCCAACCGGCCCGGGACCCGTGTGCGGCGCACGGCCCAGGGCATCCTGCTCGTGCAAGGTGAGCCCAAGGGCCAGGCGGCTCCGGGGGTGCTCTGATGGGAACTTGGATGGGGAGGGGCAGCGCCAGGAGGGGCGCTCCAGCAGGACGTGAGGAGGCTTCCACCCTGCCCTCGCCCTCCCAGCTCCCCCGGAGTTTGTCCAGTGGCCGCAGTCCCTGTCCAAGCCTCCCGGCAGCAGTGCCATCTTCACCTGCGTGGCCCAGGGTGTCCCTGAGCCCCGTCTGGTCTGGTTGAAGAACGGGAAGGTGCTGAGTCCTGGGGAGAACATTCGGCTGACTCACAACAACAGGTACCCATGGCCCAAAAGCTGAAGGTAGGTTCCGAACAACCAGAACACCTGTCCAGCTCTATGCTAAGCCCACACAACCCTCCGTGAGTACCCTTCCCGAGGAGGTGCTGCCCCATGAGAGGCGATGCCCACACAGGGCTGTGCCCTGCCCCTGGGGGTCTGTGTGGCTCTGAGATAGGCAGCCTCCGCCCTTTCGGCCGGCCCACTGGGCAGGACATCCTTCCTCCACCCAGCAGCTGTGCCTTCTCTCTCCCTAGCACCCTGATGCTGGCGGGGGTCTCAGCTGAGGACGAGGCCATCTACCAGTGCGTGGCAGAGAACAGCGCCGGTTCCAACCAGGCCAGTGCCCGCCTGGCGGTGAGAGGGGATCCAGAGCCACCCCCCGCCCCCAGAGGCCTGCGTGCCATGGCTCTCTCCACCTCTGCCATTCACGTGTCCTGGGAACCACCCCCCTCCAACAGGGACATCGTGGGCTACGTGCTGCACCTCCGGCCTGCGGGAGGTGGGTGCGGGAAGGTAGACAGGAGCTGTCTGGCCCCGGCTGGTGGTCCACTGGTCGAGTTCCTTTCACTCTCAGTGATGTCCAGACCGTGTGGACACATGTGGGGCTCTGGTGCATCCCTGTGCGCCTCTTGTCCTAGCTCCAACTTCTGCAGTCCCCTCCCACTCTCCTCGGAGGCCTTGCTGGGCCAGCCAGGCACCAGGAGGGCTCCATGTCCACACTGGGGTGGGATGCGGCCAGTGAGGGAGCGGAGGCTGAGTCGCTTCACTGCTCTGCTCCTCAGAGCCAGGCGGCCCAGAGCTCCAAGAGGCGGTGGACAAAGGCACCTTTGAGCATGTCTTCTCTGACCTGGAGCCTGCCACAGCCTACACCATCCACTTGCGGGCCTACTCAGCAGAGGGTGCCAGCCGGGACTCTGCATCCATCCATGCCTCCACCATGGGCAGCAGTGAGTGATGGCCTTGCCAGTCCTGCAGAGCTCCGGTGGACCAGGCCGTTGCCAACTCACCCCATTTCCTCTGCAGCCCCTGCCGCCCTAGGCTTCTCCACCAAAGTGCTCAACGCTACCTCTGTGCAGGCGTCCTGGGAGCTGCCACCCCAGCTGGGGCCCATCCAGGGCTTCAAACTCTTTCACCGCAAGCTGCCCGCTGCCCATTTTGAAGGACCCCTGCTCCTGGCTAGCAGTGTCAGCTCCTTCCTCTACACAGACCTGGGTGAGGGCCTGCATATTCTCATGCCCCCCGGACTCCTTTCTCAATAGTCTCGCCCCAGACACTTAGCCTACTGGCCCAGAAAGTCTGTTCCCTGTCACAGTCTCCCGCTCCCTGCAGAGCCAGCCGCCCTCTATGAGATCAAGCTCCAGGCATTCAATGGCAATGGGGATGGTAGCAGCAGTGCCCGCTTCGTCTCTTTGCGTGATGTGCCCCTGGTCACCCCTGGTGAGTGGGAACTAGTAGGAGGCGGCAGGCCTGGGATCCAAGCAGCCTCTCATAGGACTCATGGCTGCCAGGAGGAGGGGCTGGCTTTGCTCTGTCCAGCTCCCCTGACAGATGGCACTGTGTCCACAGAGTCCAAGGCTGGATGCCCTTGCAGCCAGGATGAGAGGAGCCCACTGCCTGGGGTGGTGGTGGGCATCCACGTGGGCCTGGCTGCCCTCATCGTTTGCCTCCTCTGTCTCCTCCTGGGCTGGAGACATAGGTAAGGGCCAGTATGGTGAATGTGAACCTGCTAGGAAGACAGTCTGCATCCCGTGGCCTAGGCCAAAGCGCAGGAAAGAGTCCCTATCCACGGCTACGCATTTGACAAAAGAGGAGACTGAGGCGGAGAGGAAGAGCCAATTCTCAGAGGAGGGGGGGGAATGGGAGGAGGCCTGGAGGGCAGGAAGAGCAGGGTAGAGAGCACTGGGGCTCCAAGGCAGAGAGCAGAGGTGGCAGATGTGGGTGATAGTCCCTGTCATCCTGCACACAAGGGAGGGGTCTGGCTCCCCGTCTCCAGGAGCATGGAGCAGGATGCAGGACTGGGCCCGTGTGGCTACGTGGAGGATGGGGACACATCACAGTGCTGACCCTTCCTCTCTGACAGCTTCCTCTGCAGACAGGGGGCTCAAGTGTGCTGGGCAGCGCCTCAGACTGACTCAGACAGAGCTGCAGGCCGCCAAGGCCAGGCTCCCAGTGGAAGGAAGCCAGGGGAGAAGATTGAACTGATCACTCAGGTGAGGGGATTCAGTGAGGGATGGGAGGGTGTAGGGAGGAGGCAGAGGTCTTGGGGCTCAGGCCTGATCACCTCCTTCTCTCTCAGGTGACCCTGGAACAGCCGCCCTCAGCCTAGGGCCCTGCAAGTCAGCTCCCTCCCAGAGGCCATTATGTCTGCTCCCACCAAAGAATCTACCTCACCTGCCCCTGTCATCCTAGTCAGGAAGAACCAAAGTTCCCTCAGCCCCTCTCTGGGGAGGGGCAGATCTGACCACAGGGCAAGAGAAGAGGGTGGGGTTTCTCTGTTTCTCCCTCCTCAAGAAATGGAGCAATCTGTGTGCTCCCCAACACACCAAATAACTTCAAACTAAACCAGGCTCAGCTAGATGCCCCAACCCCATTACTCTTGTCTCTTAGCCCTACCCAGTATGTCCTTTTGATCCAAATATGAACTTACCCAAAGATATAGAGCTTTAAGCGTTCCCCACAAAGCAGGGAGGCAGGGCGAAGGCCTTTGACATCACCTCCATCTCACAACCACTCTGGAATCTTTCTGCTTTCATGTCCAAGCTGAGGTCTGACCCAGGGAAAATCGGAATTTCTTGTGGTCTGAGTGCGCAGGTGGGAACAGAGATGCTGAGTTCCTTGCCCAGGGCCATAGAGGTCCTGAACATCTCAGCTCATAGAAGCTGCTCCTCTGAGCAACCAAATACCCATCTTCCCCTTTCTGGATCCAAAGCTTTGCCCCCCCCCACCCCCCACCATTCAGGGGGCACAACTCCCTATTTGATTTCTATTTTTGACAGGACATTATTAGTTTGAGTTGGGGTTTTTGTGGTCTTGAATCCCTCTTAGAATGAGCACAGAGGTTGTGGGGCACCCCACCCATGTTTCCCTCAATTCTAGGTATCCAAAGAATGCCTCTGTCCCAATCCTCCCCTGCCGGCCTCTGGCATCCAGGGTCGCCCAAGTCCCTCCTCACCTACCTCTACCATATCCTAAAGCCAAAGCCCCAGTCTCTCCCTCAATCAATCTCTCCCTCCAGGGCTGTCCAGCTTGGTGCCAAAAAAGGAGCGGGGTCTTGGCTAGCCTAAAACCCAGGGCTTAGGGGACCCCAGACACTGTCCCTTCTGTCCTCTTGTAGAATGATGCTAGTACCAATGACTCCAACAAGGCTGGGCCCTGACCCCTCTACAATTGCTCCTTCCGCAGAAGGGGCATGGGCAGCTTTAATGAAATGCAGCAGGAGATCATGGGGTTAAGGGCAGCCCCCAACTCCATATCCTTGAGGAAATGACATCCTCGCTTTGTTGGAAATAAAAAACCAAAATGGAAAAAAAATTAATTAGGATCTGCTTAATGTTGAAAGGAAAACTTGGGGGAATAGGGTGATGAGGTGTTAAGGTACAGCAGCTGTAGCTCCAGTTCTTTACATGATGTGGAGTTTGGACTAAGGAACTGTATTCTGCAGTTTGCAAAGAAAAAAAGCAGCGTGCACTGCTGTTAGAAGGCTCCCGCCGGGAGAAACCAGCACATTTCCAAGAACTCAGTCTCTGCAGACTAGGACAAGGTAATGGGGAGGGTCCAAGACAGCTAGGGTCCCCTCTGCCTGGGACAGAATGGAGCCCGCCTCTGGGTTCCCCCGCCTCCTTCCTTGCTCATCTACACTAACTAAAGTGGAGTCAGTGGCTTCAGGACACAGACACTGGCTCCACATAAAGGTGGCGGGGAATGAGAACACACAAGTAGGTAAGGGCTTTTAATTATCACAAAAGCAGAAGGCACAGACGGAAGGCACCCTGTGGGTGGAGAGCACAAGTCACAGCTCATCTCCCAATTACCCCTAAAATTCCCCCACCAAACTGCCTCCCCACACCCCCCATGACTAAAGCACAAACCACAGGCAAGTTTAGAAACCATTCCTTTCTTTATTAAACATAGCTTGCAAGTGATAAATATTACAAAGTTTTTTTTTCTTTTAATCCTTTCTCCAAAAATTAGCTTATTATTTGAATCTGTCACTGCTGAAATGCTCAGCAGCATCTGAAACAGATGGGAGTGTATTTGCCTTTTTGAAAACCAGTTTCTGTTGGTCTAAGTTTTTTCATTTTATTTCCCAAACACAATGCAGAAAATTAGAATGAGTTAAAGGAAAAAAAAAAAAAGGAAACTTAAAGAGAGTTGTGCAAAAGGGTCTTGTTCCCCTCCCACCCACCCCATTCAGAGAAGGCCATTCCCCATCCCACCTCCCTGCGCCCACCCCCCACCCCCAATCTATCCTTCCGCCTTCACCAGGGCCACACCCATCATCCTGTATCCTCTCCAGGCTTTGCCAGCCAAGAACCCAGAGTGTGGGAGTAACAGCCCAGGTCATGGGGAAACGGGACCACTGAAGCAGGCAGACTGTAAGACAGCTGCTTTTAGGGGTTCAGATGAGATCTGAGGGAAAGGAGACAAGATGTGGAATACAGCTCAGCTCTCCAACATGGTAAGATGGCAAGTCCACATCTCTAGCTCACGAAAGGTGTCACTAGACCACCAACCTGGGGCATTAACCCATCAACCATTCCAAAGGGCCCTGTGGCTGTTTGTGGGGTGGGGCTTGTTGGGGCCTGGCCCCTGTCCTGGGATGACTAGAGGCACGGGGCAAGGATGTCACAGGTCTAACTGATAGCCTAGACAGGACTCCGCTGCCTTTCCCAAGCCAAAAATAACAGCAGGGGCCTGGCAGCTCTGCGAGGGCACCGTCACATAGGGACACCGCAACACCACTTCGACACCCGTCACTTTGGTTTCCTCCCTAGTTTTTCAGCCCAACACTTCTCACCTCAAGTTACTGTTTTGTAGGTGGGGGAAGCAAGAATGGATCTGAACTTTCACCTTGATGGCCAGATTATCTCCCCCCTCATACAAAAGAAAACAGATCTGGAAAATTAACTGTACCAAAGATCACATAGCAAGTTAGCAGGAAAGCCTGGGACTAGACCCCAAAGCCTCCAGGCTGTGCCACCACCCTGCCCCTTTGTCTGTGGTTCTCTGCTTTCCACCACCCAGACTAGGAGCCTCAGCTTTCACAGCAGCCCAGTCTTAACCTCAGTGTATGAAGCCTAAAATTGTGTGCAGATGATGTGGCTCATCCTAGGTTGAGCCTTTCTTAGGATGACTTGCTAAAATCCTTACTTTCTATCATCCCCTGACAATCCACCCTCAATGACCCATGACATTAGGTTCTATTTTAGGGGGTGGGGTGGGGGGAAATCCCTTGCATAAGAAAGCTTGACACTGAATTTCGTTATATAGGTATATTGTATATATGCTGATGCAATCAGAGGAAAAAAACAGTGCAAATACAATTACAATTCATAATAATACTTGGTTTCAATGCCCCCGGGAACTGCCCCATTCCTCGGCTACCTCCCAACCCCCAGCACTTCCCCACAGTATCAACCTAATGCTGGGGGGTAGGGAGGGTGGGCAGGTTAGGGTAGGGAGTGGGCTCTGCCAAGGCAGTGCTGGTGACCCGGAGGGACTACTCCAGGGTGGGGAGGCAAGGCACAAATTAGGGGTGGGTGGTGGGGGAGGTGGCATCTCTAAGGAGGGATGGGGTTGGAGCAGCTGCCAGTCTCAGTGTGCTGGGCCCGGCCCACTCCCCTACCCACCCTCCACAGCCCTGCCTCCCTACCTCCTCCCCTTCCCCAGAAACCCTTTTGCACGGATCATACACAAACGGGCACATTACAAAATGACATAACACAGTTTCACAATATCCATGGCTAGGGCTTTTTTTTTTTTTCTCTTTTTCATTTTTTTTTTTTCTACACAATGTACAATTCCTTTTAAATGGATCAAGAAATAGCTTATATACACGAATGAGTCCTTGTTGTAACATCTCGGCAGCAAATATCATAAGCTAATGAAGGTCTTGCTGGAGGGGAAAGGAGCCTAGGACAGGGGTTGGGGTGGGGGTGGGGACTGTGGAGAGAAGGGTTATGCCTTCTGGAGGAGTGGGGAGAAAAGGGAGTGGTTGGGAAAAAGGAACAAAAGTAAAATATCAAGAAGCATCTTTACAAAGCAGTTCTATAGCTAATTCCTTTTAAACAGGAAAGGAAAGGTAACCAAAGCAGGAAAACATTTATCTGTGTCTTAAAAAAAATCGTCTACCATACATACATCCAAAAATGTGGAAAAATACTCATTCCAGGGATGGAGGAAGTCCAGATGCTGTGGTCAAATGACAAAAAAGAAAAAAATTAAAAAGTTGACAAATAAGGACCTCTGTCCCCTAGTTTTACCCAAGCCTTAATGCTAAGCCACCCGTTTCAGGCTTCTAGGTAAGCTGCTGTCCACAAACTACTACTTTTGAAGTCTCTGGGGATAAAAGAAGCCAGGCAGAACTGGTGGCATCCTTACTCTAGCAGTACCCTGGGCTTCAGGGCTCCAGGGATAGAGGATAACTCTGAACAAAGGGTCTATCCTCTATCTTTAGGGCATGAGGTTTAGTGTCTATGGGGCCAAAGCCTGGGGATGGACAGCAACAAGAGACTTGGAGGGACACGAGGCAATTCGTGATGAAAAAGCAGAGAAATGAGGAAGACAGAGGGATGGGGGAAAGGAAGGGGGTGGAAGGTTAATACTTGACCATGATTAGGGAAACCTCACCCCCATAACCAACCCATGGGAAGGGTATGAAAATGGTAAGGAGAGAGGGTAAGAAATCAAATCTCAGCGATTGAGCAAAGGGTCACGGAGCTATACTAGTCAACAAGCAGCTTCTATGTAATTGACCCTGAGGGGATAAAAACAGGGAAGACTCCACCCTCTCCCCTAACGCCTCAGCACCTTAGCAGGCACTGACTATATATATAGGCTTTCCTTCCCCATCATTCCCCATCACTACACATCTTACTTTCAAAACCCCATTCAAAGGTGGCCTGGCTCCCAGGGAAGGGACTCAGCTCAGGGCAGGGATGGCCCCCAGCCAGACGGTATTGCACATTTTCTGTTCCTTACTTTTAATCTCAACTGACAAACTTGGGCACCTTGTACCTCTGAGCACCTCTGAGCTGGGGGAGAGGGAGACATAACAGAAATGGCACTTCATCATGGGGGGAGGAAGAGGCTAGACAGATTTGCCACAAGGCAAGATGATTTGTAGGGAAAATAGTATTAAAATAAAAAAAAGCTTCCAATTTCGTGGAAGAGATAAGCAAAACAAACGATTCATCCAGTGCTTTCAAAGCACAAAGGGCAAAGAAAAGATGTAAGAATATATCTTTATATATATATATATAATTTTAAAATAACCCTAGACCCAGTTCCATTACCCGTCCCTCCCTCTCCCACCACTTACAGTCAGGGGTACCACACTCCCCAGAAAAATACTCCAAACGACCCCATCACTACCTGTTACTAGCGTCTAGCTTCCAGATCATTTCACCACTGGGGGAGCCCAGACACAGGCTGCATCTCTGCTCCTTTATTAAGTGCTCAATGAATTTGGGGGAAGGGAGGAGACACAAAAAGCCAGGAAGGCCCGTAGGGCCAGTATAATCACCCACAGTGGCGCTGGGGTACAGGGAATAGTGGCCAGAGTGGGGGGAATGAGCCTGATTCCAGCTCCTTCTTCCATCCCATCCCCAAAGTTTACAGGGAAGATGTGCAGTTTATGTGTGTGTGTGTGTGTGTGTGTGTGTATTAAATTTAAAAGTGCCTTACTTTAAAAAATTATTTTTAAAAATAAAAGTGGGGGAACTTTCCCAGGTGACTTTCAAGGGAAAAATGCTAAACTCTTCCTCACACCTCTCTGCTGAGGGTATCCTTCAGTGCACTCTGGCAGCTTCTGGAGCTCAAGAGGCAGGTGGGTATACACTATGAGGAGAGCAGAAACCCTCACCTCTCAGGGTTTTCCTTACCTCAAAAACAGCCTGGTTCCCTTCCCCTACAATGTGGGCAAATGGGACACAATCCTCCCAACCCCCCAAACAGCAACATTGCACAATTCAATTCATTTTCTACATTAGTAGCGCTTTAAAAAAAAAAAAAAAAAAAAAAAAAAAGAATTCTGGGGGAAAAAATACAACTATTTTTATAGCTGAAGTCCAAAGTGGGTTTTGACATGAGTTGTTTGGCTTAGAGCAGTTAGTGCAGCAGGGTCAGCGCAGGACTCCAACCTGATTAGGGGCCCTCATCTTCACTTCCTGGCACTCAGACAACAGAGGGAGAGGATAAATTGATGGGAGAAAGCCCTTCTTCCTTCCTCTATTTCTTCCCTTTGTTCTTTCACTCACTCATGACCATCCCAACTTTTAGGACACCCAACAAACTCAGGCTGGGAATAGTAATTTCTCTATATTACAGATGGGGCTTGGTTACAGGGGACAGATTAGGATGGGGGAAGAATACAACCACGAATGGGGGAACGGGAGAATTTTACAAAGAAAATATGACAAAATAATTTTGGGCTAGTTGGCCTGGAACAGACTTCTGTGTCTCCTCTGGGGTCAGGAGATCAATCTAATTCCCCCAGCATCCAGAAGGCCAGGATGTGGTCTCAGTCCTTGGTTCAACATTATGTTATTCATCATACTCCTTTCTCCCCCTTCTCTAATGAGTCAATTCCAGGGTGATTAAGTCTTAAAGCTTCTCTCTCCAGGCTCTTTCCCCTCGTTTTTAGAGCCTAACTTTAATACTAAACATTGCCCCCCAAACTGTCCAGCCCAGAAACACCCATAGTTGGTGCGCTATTCCTCCTTGTTAGATGCCGCCACCTCCCTCCCACCCAGGTTAAGTGCATTAAAAACTTCTGCCCCTAACACTCCAGGTCATGTTCTACTTGGCAGTTGGGGACCCTACTGCAGTGATCCTATCATTTAACTGAATGTCATTTATGTCAAAGGAAAAGGACAAAGAAAAATATTGGGGGGAGGGATGAAAAAAGATTAAACCGTCTACTGA